TATATATATATATATAATTAGAGGGCTAAATCCTCTGTTCGCTGCCGCTTATTAACCCAGATGGTTGCTTCTCACAAATTGTTGTTTATTGACATTAACAAAAAAAACAGTTTTTGTACTAAAGTTAAAATTGATCCGCAATGGCTCAGGGTATAGAGCGTTCGCCTTCCAATGTGGTGAGCCTGGTTCGAATCCCACTGATGGCTGGACGAAACGAATCCGCATCCGGCTCGCACCGACCACATCAGTGCTGACGTGTAATATCCTCAGTGGTAGGTTGATCATAGGTTAGAGTCCCTTTGCCGTCAGGCTAGCCGTTGGAGGTCCTCGTGGTCTTCCTCTCCTTGTAACGCAAATGCGGGTTAGCTCCGTCAAAAATAGTCCTCAACGAAGTCAAATTTCTCCCAATACTTGATCCAGGAGATTCCCGATCTTCCGGATTTTGTTCAAAATTACAAAGCTCTACGGAGTTGAACATCAGTAATCGTAAACTCAAAAATTGGGTCAGCTGTTCAACAACGGTTATGAAATATAAAATAGAAAGTTAAAATTATTCACATGCAATTAAAGGAATTCTGTTTGCTTAAGCTTTTGCCTCCACTTCCCACGCCCAAATATTATTATCTATTAGTATTATGAATATTTAAAACTATTCGTGAACAGTAATTTTTTTTAAGTAAATATTTTTTTCAAATAACATTTATATTGTTATAGCATTATATTGTTAACTAATTTGATGAGTTCACAACCGAAATTTAACATATCCGCCATATATTAAATACTTTGTTTGCTTTGATCTCATTGTGCATGAAGCTGATCGTTAAGTTCTAAACATTTTAACAGATTTCTTTAACTGTAATTTATAATAGTATATTAATGTTATTTGTACAAAAATGGCAATGGTAAAGCGATTTTATAAGATTAGACCACCTTTCTAAACAACTTTATCTTAAATGTAAATGCGCTATTCTTATTTCCATAGCAGCAGACGGCCTTAGACTTTGTGGCGGGGGGAGTTCTTACCGTAGAGAAGCTAGAGGAGGTTGCAGCACAGTGGAGGTCTTCCTTGGGGGTTTCACTGTATTTGGTGATTATTAAAATTGTATCAATAATGAGCAGTTTTAATGCCGATACTTTGAAAATAGGTGGAACCTCGAAAGGGATATGAAGCGGAGAAAATTACATAGTTTTGACTACCATAAATTGGCAGTAACAACATGGATAGAGTTAATCTCTATGCTGATCGGATAAATGAGATAAAACATGTTTTGATTTGTTTAAAGCGTAAAACCATTGGAAAGGGACACAAATATTAATAAATAAAGAAATAATTGAAGCTATTTCAGCTTTATAATAATAAAATTAATTATTTTAGCTTTATTAATTATTAATTTATTAATTAGGTATAAGTATTTCACTTTTATGCAAAATTTCTTAGTGATGATGAGTGCTGATATATTGATATTTTTCTATTTTTCAGCCCTTTATGAAGAACGAGTTTTCAATAAGTTTTTCTGTAAATGTAATTAGCAATTTTTAAAAAATATTTAATTTTTAAAAACGTTTCAATTTTGTGACAGCTATAGAGCATGTCACATGTTTACCTCATAAGTACTATCAGTAATTATTAACTTCAAAAATTTATTTTTTATTGAAATTATAAAAATATAATAGTCTGGACTAGATTATTACATATGGTTATATATATTATTACAACGTCTATTTATACCAGACAAATGGGAAAGTGCTCAATTAGGCCTCATTGTAATGTTAATATTAAAAATATATGCATGGACATTAGAATAAAAATAATAAAATAAAACAAAATAAAATATTTTGCCATAAAGCTAAAAAATGGCTTTTTGATAAATTAAATATTTGATTACGATAGTGAAATTGTTATGTTTCTTAAACGATTCCGTAGATGGCGTTGCAACCGTAGATGGCGTCACTAAAGTCCAATAAAAATTTAATAAAAGAGCTAAGTGACATTAAAATTAGATTATTTTTTCAACCCCGTAAATAAAAATTGTGTTTCATATTTCGGATGTTACAATACATGTCATTTAATTTTAAAATTGTGGTTTAATAATTGGGGAAAATACAAGCAATTATATATAGACAAACAGAAGGTGCGTTAATTCACATAACTAAGGGGGGGGGAATAATTTAATTTAAAATCTATATTGGAATAAGAAAAAGTACCTACAGAAGATATAAAATATTGAAATAAAATATTTGACTTTAAGAGTAAAAAATTGCTAATAAAATAAAATCTTGATTTTCACACGCCAAGTCGTTATGTCAACCCAAAACGAATTTATAAATAATCAAGAATAATTATATAAATAATTAAGATCAAGAAAATAAATTTTAATTTTTAGGAGTTGGGTATTATAAAGGAAGAAAATATCCGCTTTGTTGATGTATACGATGAAAGAAATGATTTTAATTTTAATATAAATAAACTAATTACTTGGAATTCAAATGTTTCTAAAAATATCTATTTAAATACCATTTTTAATCAAATGAATAGAATTTGTAGTAATGTTTATTTATCCAAAAAACAAATAGACACACTCTTTCAAAATTTGATTAAAAAAAAATGGATAGACAACTAAAGTAATTAAATTCTACATAAAATCATTGAGTAAATTGTATGTTATTGTAAATAAATTTACTGAAAACTTATTTGTTGATTTATATAATTTTTACCATGTGCAAATCCATTTCGGGCAATTACGTGGCTGAAAATGTGTGCAAAACAAGGACATGTTTCTCTCGCTCTCTCTTTTTTTCTCTTAAATAAAAGTTAATTTTCTAAAATCATTAAAATTGTATGATTAAATATCAAACTTATTAATTATAAACTTCTTCAAAGTATATATATATAGCATAATAAATAAATACAAAAAGAAAAAAGAAAAAAACGAAGAAAATTTAAAAAATCAATAAGTTTTATTTACATCGCATAAGCTGCAAGCATATAGAACTCATAAAATAAGTTCAAAATTCAAAGCATAGAAATAATTACAGAATAATCTAATAAAAATCTGGAAAAAAATATATAATCTCTTCATCAGCCTACGTGATTATATCCGCAAAAAAGAGTGCTTTCTAATATTGTGTCAATTTAGTCAAAGCAAAATATATCAATGCAATAGTGTGAGGAGCACTCAAAATTTTTTTTTCATCTTTTTTTTTCATTGTTCTGTAATTTTTTCCATGTTTTTTTTCCACATTTTGAACTTATATATATGCATATACAGAGAGAGCGAATGAAAATCATTATTTCTAAAAGCAATTGTCCTTGGCTGAAGAGTCTTATGGTGTATAAAGTTTCGTTAATGCTTAAACAGTTTCAAACCTATTTTATTTCATTCTTTAACCGATTTTGAAAAATCGACCCTTTTTGAGATTACGGCTATCTATATTCAACTCTGTAACTTTGTAATTTTCCTGGATCAAGGGGACTCCTGGATCAAGCATTGGCTTAAATTAGACTTTATGGAGGACATTTTGATGGAACTTACCCGCATTTGTGATGCAAGGAGAAGAAAACCTCGGAACCACCAACGGTTAGCAGATCGGCAAGGGGACTCCGTCTACCTAAGAGGATAATTCCCGTCAGCAGAGGGAAGAAATTTTTCTACGTTTTAGGAATGAACCGTGTAACAAAATATGTATTCAAATGTTTGATATATTTCTTACGGCGTCTGATCTCATTGCTTTATTTCCCTAAAGCAATGTATGGAATACATGAAATATATAAAAAATGTACCATAGTATAAATAAATGTAATAATTAATATATTTTTTCACGATATATAAAAATCTAATGATGGTGTCGCAGTTTTCCAGTGTTGTCGGTGCATTTTTATTTGCTGGAAAATCACATGGTAGGATCCAGTTTTCCCACATTAATTTCCATATTTGTTTGGTTTTCATCAGCATGAAATTGATATTAGCCATAAATCTATTGTTGTCCTATAAATATTTTTGCCTCCCTAATATATATATATA